TGTCCCCCCCCCTCCCCCCCCCCCCCCACAGCCGACAGCGCCACTGTCCAAGTCAGCGACAGCGCCAGCTGTCTCCGACCGGGTAATGCGAGTCCACGTGGTGGCGCGGGTTTGGAGGCAGCCGTGGGGGAGTTGCGGGGCGCATTGCGCACTGGGTGGAGAGCTAGAACTGAGGCTCTCGCAGCAGCCATGTCTTTTCTTTCTGTGAAATTTGTGAATTCTGATACCACACGCTAACCAAATCTTCGAGCTACTTTTCCTTTATTTTATTTATAAAATAAATTTTATAAATGACGAATACACCCTGGACAACAAAACGCACCGTGTTGCTGTCTATATAGACGAACAAACGGTGCTCTTTCCATTTTCATTTTCCCTCTATAAAATCGGGGGTTTCTAAGCGTGCTCTGTACATTTTTTGCGCCAGAACGAAGGTTTTTGATTTTGAAACCATGGTTGAAGAAGCGTCGGCATCGGTGGGCGAAACCCTACCCCAAAACGCGCTGGAGACTCAGAGGTCCAACGAGGCCACCATCACAGATGGAGCTCAGGGAGGCGCCGAGTCTACTTGCAACAACGACAACGCGGAAGCTTCAGCTGTCACTTCCGATGGAGATCGCGAGAAGTCGCTGGAGTTTGCCGACGAGTTGATGGAGAAGGGTTCCAAGGCCATCAAAGACTCTGATTTCGGAGAGGCCACCGAGTGCTTCAGCCGTTCCTTGGAAATCAGGTTAGGGTTTTTGATTTCCATGCTTTTTCTTGCTTGCCTGATTCCACATTCTTTTTGTTTGCTTTGAAATTGAGCCCTTTTGGAAGTTATTTGTTTGTTGGGCGTCTATGATGCTGTAATATTGTTACCTTTGTTTGCTTTCCCAAACATTAACCCTAACTGTAGGTCAGTTAATTGATTTGTTGTGCTTCCGTTGCCTTGGTTTGCATAGTCTTTTGCATTTTCAGAAATTGGTATTGTGCCCGTGAGCCCCACGAAGTGTACAATTTAGTTTCCAAATCATGCATTCGTAGAGTACCAATTTCTTTATCTTTCATATCTTGTTGCATTTGCTTGGTGATACTAAGGTGTCTCGGGTTTTCGTTGGGCTCAAGTGGTGAGGGAGGGTAGCGAAATGGGTTAGGACTTGGATAGGTTCGATCCCTCCAATGAAACCTGAAAAAAAACATGTTTCTAGGCTTTTTCATTAAATGTTTGCCATCATTTCTACTCTCACTTAAACTCAGTTGCTTATTAGCAGATGATGAATATTCTAAACTATTATATTTGTGTCAACAAAACCAGGGTTGCACATTATGGCGAACTTGCTCCTCAGTGTGTCAATGCATACTATAAGTATGGATGTGCATTGCTTTACAAAGCTCAAGAGGAGACTGATCCCTTGGGTGTTGTACCCAAGAAGGAGGATGAATCTCAGCAAGGATCTGCTAAGGTTGGTTCTGTTAAGAATGTTGTAAATGGTGAATCTTCTACAGCTTCTGCTTCAAGTGATGCTGAACAGGATGGTAGTTTGAATCATGAGGAGGGAGCAGCTGATGAGGGTGGTATGTCACTTGTGATGCTTATTGATTATAATCATCTAATATAGAACTTTCATTGGCAGACAATCATGAACAAAGCTCATGCTTTTTGCAGAAATGTTGCACATTTTCGAATGTGATATCTTTATTACATATAATGCAATTATATTTTAATAATTTTTCTGTGATGACACCATAGTTGCTTACATAGTCTGCTTTACTATCATTATGCCACCTCAAATCCATTGGAATAATCAAATGAATCATGATTTCTGTTACGGGACATATCATGGGTACATTACCATCATGAGTACTACATCCTATTTAAATTTCGAGATGCAAATCTGCAAAGAACACTGTTCTGCAAATATATCAACCGGGAAAAAAAATCAACTTTATCCATTTGTGTGTGCAGGTTCTCTCATAGTCTGGTTTAGATCTTTGTGGAATTGAAGTATCGTATAATCGATATTTTAGTTTTTTATTTGGTCTGCATTTAGAAACTCATTTGACTGTCTGTTCTCGGCAAGATACTGAGAAATACTCTGTCATGCACACACATACACAAGTTTAATACAGCACCATTACCTGCAAAAATATGGTGCAGCCTGAAAAGCATATAAGTGACATAAATTTAGGTATACAATATTGTGTAAGATGATGCTTTCTGTCCCAAAACTGATGGGTTGAGAATTATTTGATTCAAATTACCAATGTAACTATAAGTTTACAGTGTTTATCCTTATTATATCGACTGAATCATAAAACAGTTGTTCATTTCCTTTTCTGAGGCAGCTTCTGGTGAAAAAGACCAGGAAGAAGAACATGATGATAGTGATGTTGAAGACCTGGCTGAAGCAGATGAAGATGAGACTGACCTTGATTTGGCATGGAAAATGCTAGATGTTGCAAGAGCAATTGTTGAAAAACACTCAGATGACACAATGGAGAAGGTGGACATATTATCAGCTTTGGCTGAAGTTGCATTGGAAAGAGGTTTGTTATGTACTCAATTTAGTTGAATTGAGATCTGTATATCTTTCCTTTGGCGAAAGAGGTTCGTGAACTTCCACACTACACTTTTGGTGCGTTTGTTTCGAAAGCATCTTATTTGGCTTTGTTGGTGCTCCTTGTAGAGGACGTTGAAACTTCTCTCAGTGACTACCAGAAAGCACTATCCATTTTGGAGCGGTTGGTTGAGCCAGATAGTCGACGTATAGCTGAACTGTATCCTATTCAAGATTGACATATTTGAAATGCTCTGTTGGCTTTGCCAAAATCTCTTAAAAAGATTTTGTTCAATGTATTTACTTGGTCAGTTGGGAACTTGGTTCAAAAAAATTAGCTATAAGAAGTTCTTTTCCATAGTTTTTATTTATTACATTTTGGTTTCCCCCATTCCACTGGGCCAGCAGGGGCTCATGACCTTAACTGGAGAATTCAGAAACTTTCGAATATGTTTGTGTTTGGAGATTGGTTCCAAGCCTGAGGAAGCCATTCTGTATTGTCAGAAGGCTATATCAATCTGCAAGTCTCGTGTGCGGCGACTCATGCTCGAATCAAGGAGTTTCTCAGAATCTACGACCTCGTCGGCTGCTTCTGTATTGGAGCAGGGTGTCACGCTCTCCTCAACTGTGACCGAGTCTGATAGTACTGTGACAGATAAGCAGGCAGAGATTGAAACACTAACTGGACTCTCTGGAGATCTGGAAAAGAAGGTATTTGTTAATTTTCTAACCCTTTTTTTCCAGTTTCAAACATGTTTTTCTGATTTTTAGATTCTTGAGTTGTAGCTTGAAGATCTGCAACAACTGGCCTCAAACCCAAAATCCATTCTCGCTGAAATTCTGGGATTGGCGTCTGCCAAGGCAAAAGGCACTGAGAAGAGTGAATCTTCAGCAGGGCAGAGCTCTTCACGGATGGGAGCTGCTGACAACATTGGAGGCTTTGACTCCCCAACTGTTTCTACTGCTCATACGAATGGAACTTCTGGAGTCACACATCTCGGTGTGGTAGGAAGAGGAGTAAAGCGAGTATTGATGCACTCAGGCACTGCTGAATCAAGCTCAGCGAAGAAACCTGCTTTGGATTCATCTGAAGATAAGGGAGAGGGCAACACATGATGAAGGTTATGGATTCCGGTAATTGTATGAATAGGATTGAGAAATCTTCGTTGGATTCTAGATTCTAGTATTCTATGCAGTGATTCCTAGTTCAAACTAGTAGGCTAGTAGAGTGTTTGTATGGTGATAAATCTTACTATCTAGAAATTGAGATGAACTCGTCACTGACAATGTGTTTAGTTGGATATTTTCCATGTTATCAAGTCATGCTAGTTTGTGTCCATGAAATGGTCTGTACAAATTGAAAGGTAGCATAATATGTTTTCTCATACTAATCATAGTTCTACAAGCACTCCAGAAAAGTCATCATATACTCTTCCCTTGTGAGGTGCCAGACGATTGTTTTGGAGTGTCAATAGGAGGGAACTCATTGCACATGAGGTGGCACCATAGTGGAAAAGTGAGCTAAGGAAGCCAGGCTTTGGAGCTAGTATTGTAATATAGGCATTATCAGATTGGCCAACAATGATCGATCTTTGTTTTCTTTTTCTAATCTACTTTAATTTTAAATGTTTATAAAAGAAAATATAAAATAATATATAGAATAATCTTGAGATTCAAATATCATTGAAATGACCTTCCAATGTTTAAGAATGGAATTGCTCAAATCTGGTCATGTTATTCGATTCGATTTGTTATACGTTCAATCTATCACCACCGCAAGTTAGAATAACGATGTAGTTTTTTTTGTTGTTGGGGGGGAGGGTGTAATTTGATTTCAAAATTTGCAACTCAAAGTGATCCCACAAGACAGCGAGCCAGTAAGAAAGCATTAATTTACAGCCAAAACCGTTGAAACCTGATTCATTAATTTATGATGATGAAATGTGAAATGTGAAATTGGCTTGGTTGGTGGGTCCATTTCACATTTGGCTTGGTTGGATGGGGTTGGGTTGGGTTGGGTTGGGTTGTTCAAACTGGTCCTCTAATATTATTGTGTCTTGACATCTAATCATCCGGAAAAGGCATATATATATATATATATATATTTTACTGCACATTAAATTAGATTTAAGCTAATTGGCTACGATATCAAGAGAACATGCGGTGATTGAAACCTAACAAAGTGATGATGGAACAAGAGCGATTGATGTTTATTGGACCTGTCAACTGATGAAGAATCCTAATTATTTCTGATAACGATGTGTTTGTGTGTTTTGTTTTGACTGGTTTAACATTAATCACCATTGAAGCCCATCTTTCATCAGCTTGGGGCTGTTTTCTTCTTAGTGAAACGAACGAAACAGCAAATAAAGTTGACCTAATTACATTGGTTTTTATGACATCACTGATTACAACAATATAGAATTGGAATTAAGCTTCAACAATCAAGCCCGAGAGGAAGATAAACTTACCTGCATTCAGAATGTCATTATAGCGGTATTTCAAGGCAATAAAGTACTGTCATACATTCTTAATTTTCCCACATAATAGTTTATCACTAACTTGAGATACCGTCATAATCATAGCCTCATTAAGTTCATAACCCGTTCAATGAAAGTTTTCTCCTATGCGAATCATGAAAGCATCTTGACTAGGCCACCTTGTAAAATTCCAGAACATGTGTCGAAATTTCTCACAATGAATTGGTTGTTGACAATGTAAAAATGTGTTTTTATTTTATTATTCTTTATTTTTATTATTAAAAAATAATAGAAGGTAGGAGAATTACTATGCAGAAAGCGAATGAGCGATACCTTCAACACTAAGTTTGAGTGGCATTTGAGACAAAACAAGTCGATGATATCAGAGCGACATTGATTGTATTTATACCTTGAAATTGGATAAGGAGAAAGCCAAGCCAAAGCCAAAGCCAGCAGAAATCAAGAGTTTTCCCAAAACGATGTGTTTCAGAGTGGACTGCAAGCAATGTGGGAAGTACTCCTGGGGAGGATGTGGAAAGCACTTGGGCACCCTGTACGCCAGCATAGATGAGGGGAAGCATTGCATGTGCCGCTCATGGCCTGGTGTGGCCATCCCCAAGCAGGGGACACCTGCTCCCCAACAATCTGTGGCCTCAGCCGCAGGTATTTTATTATAATATTTGGTATGTTTGTGTAGCTAACCCTAATGTGATGCATGTGTATGGCATGTATGTTTTAGGGTTTATTAATTAAATAGGTTCATGTTTTCTTGTTGCACAATTTGACATGTGTTTTGTGAATTCGAACCACATGTTTCAACAACAATCAATCTTATAGTCTGACAATATAACATCGATGTTATCCTTAAAAAATCAATCACAGGCTTAATAGCTTCGTTACTTCAATATTCTCAATGAGCACGAGTGTTATAAGGTTAGGTGTTCGACAAAATGCCTCAAAGAGTTTTAAGTCTGAGGCGGAGGTAGGGTAGTGAGACAAGGGCAAAGTGGCGTGCAACATGAAGAAAAAGAAAATTCTAAATCTGTCTCTTCTTGCGTTGAGTGGCTTAAATTAATAACCTTTTATGGCTGATGTAGATCACGAGTCCATTGATTGATCCTCGATGTTGCTTTGTGCAGAAAAGTAGCAACTCTGAGATGTGTCCAATGCTGGCCAGCAGTAGCCGCCTTATCAGATTGATAGTGGTGCCAGCATAAATAATAGACAGATGGGGATAATTTGAATAATGGCAGCTCAAAGCCACAAGATGAATACCGTCGTATCCATTTTAAGGGGTGTGTTTAATTAGATGTCGTCTGTCTAAGTTTAATAATAATAATGTTAGTGCTGGTGTGTTTATGGTCAAGACAGATTTGACCAATTCAAACCTGCCTTTTTCCAGTGTAAGGATTGAATAATACTAATGGAGTGGGGTTGCACCAATCTTCACAAAATCAAACCCTGTGACCCACATAGTCTTTTGTTGCCAACTCAATGTTCTTTATTTTTTTTCCTTTTTGTTGAAAATTTTGGATCTTTATAGCTTGGCATCTTATTGTCTTTCTTATGAAGATGGCTGAGTGGGTGTGTGCCCAAATACGCCACCTTATCCTTATTTTGTGCATTTTGTCAAATGATTAGTCACCAAACCACCATTTGTATGAATAATTATTCTTTCACTTGAAATCATTCAAAGGCAAGAAATTACTATTAAGTCACAAGATTTCAGTCAGAAGCAAGTGGGGTGAGGAGTTTGTTTGTCTTCCCATCCCATTACCTCAATGACTGACATTATCATCTCCATCTCCACCCCTTCTAACAATAGTTAATTATGCTTTAATTATTGGATGTCAATTAAAAACAACAGGTTTAGTAATTTCATAATAATCCATTTTGCTCAGACAGACCATTTTGAAATTTGAACACCTCTCAGTTTCCCACTATTTCCATGAAAAAAAATCAATGCACTCTGTTTTTCTTTGAGGTGTCATTAATGTTGGCATAAATGCAAAGCACACATAGTGGTTCAAGAGTAGATAAGCTGCTATAAATGCATGAGAGTTCCCTTCTTTTTTTGCTTTCAAACCTAAAATTTCATAAATATGCGAAAACAAGTTGGTATCATTATTAAAAAAACTATAGGAAATTCAAGCCATACTACTAGAGGGATAACATGATAATACGTTACGATTTTAGAGATAAATGAAATTCGAAATGCACTAATTTTCACGATATAAACAAATGAAACACTACTCTAAAACAAATGCTACTATGTTGCAAGAGGTTTGTAACTCAAGTGGTTAAAAGCATTTACATATGTATTCGAGGTTCTAAGTTCGATTCCTCCTCTCCAATACTGCTGTATCAAAAAAGACTACTATGTTAGTTGGGGTCTAAAATTGTAGGGTTTGTGTTTGCAGGCTTTATCAGAAATTTGGAGGATGTAAAAAAATATTCTGGTTTTCACTAGAAAACCAAACACTACAGTCCCTGCAGTACATTCTGTCACAAGCTCCAAGCATGAACTAAAGACATCCATATATACCTGATGGGGGCCTGCCAAATTGCAAGGGCGATTATAGTGTTGTGTTAAACTCACATGTGGGCAGTTGAGAATTTTTGATTTGGCCCCACTAAAAGTTAAAAACTCATAATTACTCTTATAATCAACTTTGATCAAGATTTTTAGGACATTCTAACCCTAAAAATCAACTTTGAAAGTAAAGGGTGTGTATAATTCCTGAACCAAGGAAATGAATTATGTATAATATGGGGGCATGCTTACATTGGATTATCATTATTAAAGTGAGCCCCCCAAACCCCAGATTACGAAATGATCACGAATTCAATTAAATACTCCACCATTTGCGCCAAAAAGCAAAAAGACCCAGTTACAGTTGGCATGCAATGCAATTTCTAGCTAATTTTCTAATGGGTGATGGTGCTCTCTTTTTTAATGTCAAAATAAAAGGGGAATTTGCCTCAAAGACAACATACCTTTTCCTGGAATTGGAGGTGAGAGAGAGAGAGAGTGGGTGAGAGAGATCAGAGACTCAGCTGGGAGTGAGATTCTTCTTCTGATGTGATTCATTCATTCAAAAGAAATAAATAAATAAAACGATGGCATTGGTTTGGATCCCCTTTTTCGAAATTTGTTCAAGCTGAGCTCTATTTGTCCTCTCTTGGGTGTATTTGGATTCCTTCTCTCCTTTCTCTTTCAGCACTCTTTCTTTCTCTTGTTGCTCAATTGTTCCTCAGAGAATATCACAACAACAGCCAAACAATTTTCATCCTTTCATTCCATCAACCATCCTTTCTTGCTGAAAGCTTCAAGTGAAGTCAACCCCATTCCCCCATTTGTCTCTTCCAGCTTCTTCCAAGTACTATTTGCTGTTCATGGATCTGGGTTTCTGATTCCCTTATCAAAACGGTTTCTTTCATTGAAGAGGTAGATAGATACATAAATTAACTGATGGAGAAAATGGCGGCAGCAGCTGAGAAGCCCAGCTCCAAAGGACAAGCATGGTTAGTTCCATTTTTACTGCAAACAATCTCATTCAAAACCTCACCTTTTTCATTTTCTGCTGGGTACCCAAATCAAAAGCAATGCATCAATTAACCAAAACTCTCTTCAAAATGTGTTCTTCGCAGGTTCTGCACCACTGGGTTACCAAGCGACATTGTGGTCGAAGTCGATGACATGACCTTCCATCTCCACAAGGTCATTACATCAAACACATTGAGAGCACACATTGCATTTCTCTTCATCTTTCACTGACCAATTTCAGCTAACAGTTTTCTGCTTCTGGTTGTTTCAGTTTCCTCTCATGTCAAAAAGCCGGAAGCTTCACAACCTGATCACAGAGCAAGAGACGAACCCATCGCAAACCCGCCAACAAATTGAAGAGCAGGATGAGAACGATGACGAAATCGAAGAAGTTCAGTGCCAAATAGCTCTCTCTGACTTCCCCGGCGGCTCAGAGACCTTCGAAATAGCAGCTAAGTTCTGCTATGGTGTCAAGATCGACTTGAGCTCCTCCAATGTCGCGCCTCTGCGCTGCGCAGGAGAGTATCTGGAAATGACCGAAGAGTACTCAGAAGATAACCTCATTTCCAAGACCGAGAGGTTTCTCTCTCAGTCTGTGTTGAAGAGCTTCAAGGAATCGCTCAAAGCTCTCAAGTCCTGCGAACGAGTGATGCCTCTTGCAGAGACTTTGGGTATTACGCAGAGGTGCATAGACTCCATCGCCTCCCGCGCCACGTCAGCCGATCCCACCCTGTTTGGCTGGCCGGTTAGCGAAGCACCCAATGCAAATACGAATGCGATTTCTTCCTCTTCTTCCACCAAACAGCAGATTTTGTGGAATGGGATCGACGCCGGTGGTGGCGGTGGACGAAGAAGAGGCCTTTCCAAACACGCAGATTCCTGGGTTGAAGATTTGGTGGTTTTGAGTTTGCCTCTGTTCAACCGATTGATTTCCGCCATGAAATCTGGAGATCTAAGCTTGGAGATGGTGGAGACTTGTTTGATGCATTACGCTAAGAAGTACATTCCTGGAATTTCAAGAACAAATCGAAAGCCTCCATCTTCTATCTCCGCCGTCACCGCCACCACAACCTCATCGTCTTTAGCTTCGGAGAGTCAACAGCGAGAGCTTTTGGAGACGATCATCTCCAATCTTCCATTGGAGAAGAGCTCCAGACCTTCCACCGCTACTCGTTTCCTCTTTGGACTGCTGAGAACCGCCAACATACTCAATGCCTCCGAGGCCTGCAAAGCCGCGTTGGAGAAGAAGATCGCTTCGCAGCTCCACCAAGCCACCTTAGACGACCTTCTCATCCCGAGCTACTCGTACCTCAACGAGACTCTCTACGACGTCGATTGCGTCGAGAGGATCTTAGGTTACTTCTTGAACGGCTTGGATCAGAGAAACACAGCCGGAATCGAAGAAGACGACGGTTCTGACGGTGCTGTCAGATCGCCGACATTGATGCTCGTCGGAAAATTAATCGACGAGTTTCTCTCCGAGATCGCCTCGGACGCGAATCTCAAGCCGGACCGATTCTACAATCTCGCGATTTCTCTACCTGAACAAGCTCGGCTCTTCGACGACGGTCTTTACAGAGCCGTCGATCTCTATCTCAAGGTCCGTACACAATTTATACATTACAAACGATTTCATAAATTAAGCTTGAGATGATATCAATTGTGAAATCTGAATTGTATTTTCATATCTGTAGGCTCATCCATGGATACCGGAACCAGAGCGCGAGAAGATCTGCGGAATTTTAGACTGCCAAAAGCTCACGCTCGAGGCTTGCACGCACGCGGCGCAGAACGAGCGGTTGCCTCTGCGCGCGGTGGTGCAAGTTCTGTTCTTCGAGCAGCTCCAGCTCCGTCACGCCATCGCCGGAAATCTGCTCGCAACCGACATCGCTCCCCCGGACTCGGGCAGGCCATCGGTGCTGCAACGCGAACGACAGGAGGAGGAGGAGGAGGAAGAGGACGACGCGGAGGCACGTGCGGAGGAAGATGGGGATAATGTGGCACGTGCAAATGATAGTGGGGGAGGCACGTGGCGGGCGGCTGTAAGGGAGAATCAGGTGTTGCGCTTGGATATGGATAGCATGAGGACGCGGGTGCACCAGCTGGAGCGGGAGTGCTCCAACATGAAAAAGGTGATCGAGAAGATTGATAGTCCGGGTCAACCCAGGAGGGACGGGTCAGGTTGGAAGGTCTCGTTGAGCCGGAGGTTCGGGTGTAAGTTCAAGACCCAGGTGTGTGATTCGCACGAAGCCACGGCCGTTGATACGAGGAAAGGACGGCGACACCATCATCAACAATAGAGCTGCCCGCACCGGATCATGTAGTTGATGGCCACGTAAATAAATGAAAGCGCAGATTGGGTTGGCGAATTCGGAACCGAGAAGAACACAAATTGAGGGACACATGATATGTGATTATTGTTTATTGGGCGAGAAAGCAAAAGCGTTTACAAATAGTGCAAATGCAACCTTTTTTCTTCGTTCCTGCTTTTGCTTTTTAGCTTTTTTCTGGAATCAAAGTTAAAAAGCGCTTTGGGTATGACTTTTGGAAGCTCCAGATATAATGACTGCCTGTGTCTCTCATCTGGGGTTTTGGTAAGTTGATTGATATGATGATGCAAGGAGTCAAGGACAAAGGGTCCCAAGTGATTAAAGTCAAGCCCCAGAATATTCATGATGCTTGCTTTGCTTAAAAGATTATGTGTGGGATGGTTTCAATTTATGTCAAAGAAACAAAAACATGCACACTATTTTCTTTGGAAGGATGGAAAGTTAGAATGATTGATCATATAAGCTCAAAGTCTTGGTTTTGTATCCAAGATATAAAAGTTGTAATGGGAGTTTCTATGATTGTTGGGGTTTCGACTTTAAGAAAAAGCTACAATCTTTTAACCCTAATGAAATCTTGGCAATACAATCTCTAGAGTCTAGACCAAGTAGAGAAAGATGGTGCTTCGGATTGTACTTGCTTAGCTTTTACATATGTCACTTTGAAGAAGTTCACTAGTACCTTTGGTAATAATCACCGTTTTTGTTATCTTCTACTTGATCTTTGAGGCAGATCCGTTGGGCTTTGCCTAAGCCTAGTAGAGTTTCTGGTAGGCTTGTTCTATTGGGCTTCTTATCAACAAGAACTTTGAAAGTCATCTCTCGAGCACCCTCCAATCCATTTCAAAATTAGATTTCTTAAGCTTTTCAAGTTTCTTAAGTTATCTAGAATCATTTGAGCTACTGAGCTCAGTGACACCAACGTTGAGCATGCCCATTACAAAGGCCTTATTGCCAAGGCTTAGAACCTCATGACCAAGAACTCGTTCATAACTCGGGCACAATCACTCGAAAGAAGTCAGAAAACAACGCTTATCTTAGAGCTACAAAGAATTTCATGCTCAATATAATCTCCTAAAGAAGTACTATCCAGAGGTTTATACATGTCACATACATTCACAAGGTTTGAACAAGCAGAACAAAGTTGTTCCACATAAACATGTGGTGGGCAAAAATGTGAGCAAAAAGAAGAGAGAACACTCATTCCACAATCTTGAGCCAATGCAAAATGACTGTTCCAGCCCATCAAAGTTATGGATGGTTTGGCAAGTAGTGCACAAATTTGTTCTTCAGAGTTCAGATAGAGGTGGTGGTTCAACCATTGTATTAATAAATACCATTCAACTAGACAGAGAATGCTTATCTCCAAAAAATCCAGAAATGCTATACATATTTAGTGTTCAGATTCACAGCATCACCCAATTTCCATATCTAGTGTTGAGATTCATGAGTCATCATGACACCCAAACTTCTAAGGAGGTTAGCGTACGTTGTGGATATGTCCAATCACTTGCTTCAAGGGCATGGCTCAATTCTCGTCTTCTGCGTCTTTTGAGAGCAACCAGGAGAGGTACTCAGACTCCTCCTGGCCCAACTGGTCTGGTGGAGTCACCCTTTTTCGTACGAGCATTTCTATAGTGGGGTACTTCCTCTTACGGCCACTCCTTGGCCTTGACCGGAATTTCTCATCAGCCTCTTCAAAATCCCCCTGCAATTCAAAGCAATAATGTCCCACATATGAACTCATAATGTGGCATTGCCTGGAAAGATGCTTATCCCAAAATCCAACATATGAGGGTATTGAATGATCTAAGAATAATACTCACATATGCATAGACATGACGCCCAGTCTTCTCATGCTTATCTCTCACATGCTTGTTTGCGAATCTCCTGCCACAACCTGAAAAGCTACAGACAAAAGGTTTATGTTCAAGGTGTACTGCCTTGACATGTTGATTGGAGATTTGATTTCTGAAAACGTGTAAGCAAAATCAGAAATGGAAACAATAAAAAAACTAACAATGGCAATGCAAAGAATGAAAACTATTTTTTTTTTCTTTCCAAAATAATGAAATATGTTTGTTCTTTGTGTGCATACAACCCATTAAAAGTCAAGTCAGTAACTCACAGTTGAACATGTGTGAAGACAACCCTAACCCTTATAACTGCATTTAATTCTCTCCACTGAAGCACCACCCCCTTCCTGCGTGTGGAGAGATGCCGTTTGATGTTCCTTCTCGGCTTCTTGATCCCACATATCTCATAGGTGATATGTTAACGGTGGCAGGACTGAATACGGGCCATAAGGCATTTCTCATTAAATCGTATAGCCAGGCGGCTATACTCGGATTTTTCATTTTTTTTTTAAAATAGTATCGCCGGGCGTCTATACTAGGTTTTTTAATTCTTTTATAAATAGTACAGCCGGGCTGCTCTACTCGGCTCCTTTGTTTAAATAAAAAGTATCGCCGAGCGGCTATACCCCTTTTTGAATTTTTTAAAAGAAATAGTACAGCCGAGGACTTCTTAATGTAGTATAGCCGCGCGGCTATACCAGATGTTTTCAATTTTTTAAAAAAGAAATAGTATAGCCGGCGGCTATACTTCTTTTTTTTGTTTTTTAAGAAATAGTATAGCCGACCGGCTATACAGTTTTTTAAAATGTTTATTTAGAAATTAGTATAGCCGCCAGGCTTTACTCGGCTCTTTTTTTTTTTTTTAAAACCCGATGTTTCTAATTTTTCAAAGGAAATGGTATGGCCGAATTAATCATAACAAACATAACCACACATGGCAGAACAGATTTCAAAATCGCTTCTTAAAGTCTATCAAACCTTAACAACAGAGGCTCCAGTGGCAAACTTTTTCCCCAATTTCTTTGAAGCATCACTAAGTTTGACACCTGAATTGTAATCAAAGGCAAACTGCACACCGCACAATACAGTACGCGAACCGGTTGGGGTTTTCCCGCCATCAGAGCTCAACCTCAAGCCCCTCTCTCTCTCTCCCTCTCTCTCTCTCTCTCTCTCTCTCTCTCTCTGTGTAATTGGGAAAGATGAAACGCAGCGTTTCGACTACGCAATCGCTGAATTGAAGACGGTGTTCGTGGTTTCTTGATGACGATGAGATCTTTGTCTTTGTTGGATTACGAGTGTAGACGCTGTAGGCCCAATACGGTGCGTTTCATCAATTTGGCCCATTCACCATATAAGGCTATCATGTATCTGTTTATGTTTTCTTGGGCCGAATAGGCACACATGCTTGAAATAAATGAGAAATATTTTTGAAATTTGTACCAAAATGTACATGTATTCCCTAAACTTTTTCCTTCAACAACAGGCGGGAAAGGAGCTTCGAGCTTGAAACATCTTTTAATTTTACAAAGAGAAAAAACACTAGAGTAAGAATTAGTTGATATATACTTCATAAGGTTTAAACTACGACTGATATAGGTTGTGTTTATACATTTCCAAAATTGATGTATTTTCAAATAAAGATTGCAAAACACAGTTACGGAAAAGCACAACCCAAATAAAATAGAAGGGAGTAATGCTTGATAAGCAAATTCTAATTTAATTTACAGGCAGAATCACAACAAATTTAGGTTAACCAACGGCATGCAGGCAAATATGCAGACAATAGTAACATTTTAAATTCACCATATAGCAGTTTGTCAACCCATGTCTAATTGTGCACATGAAAACAATGGAAAGTAGAGTAAATTAGCTTAATAAGCAAGGTAAAATCCTATATAAGTTATAACCCTTTAGTAATTTGGTTGGAATTTAGTGACGGGACTTATAGCTCAAGATTTATGAGCATTTATTCCAATATTTGAGGTCCTAGGTTCGATTTCCCTCTCCCTGTAAAAATCTAGTTGGGATTTGAGTTGTCATAGCTGATCACCCAACTTTGTCACACAACTGTTAGATGCATGAACGAAACGGGAGAGATTAATTGCAGCAGAGTCAAATTCAAAAACAAAGAAACTGAAGGGCTTTTCCTAATGAAGACAAATTGACAATTGGCTTTGAAACCCTGACTAAAGCCATGCATTTGTTGCCTTAAACCAAAAATAAAAAATAAAATTTGGGTTTTGTACAAAATCCAAATAAATTTTAGATGCCAAAATATATTTCACAAAATCTGATGCTATCCAACTCATTAACCAAAAGCTTGAGCGAACTTGATATCCCTCTTTAACTCTCAATTAAATCCCAATTTCTTTGCTTTTCCTCACCCTCAATTGCTTCTGTTTGGTTCATTTTCTGCGAGAACAAGCAATCATGGAAAATAGGGATCAGGTTGCAGCTCAAAACCATGCTTGTGCTTCCTGCAAGCATCAGAGGAGAAAATGTGATGAGACCTGTGAAATGGCCCCATACTTTCCAGCCAGCAGGTACAGTGAGTTCCAACATGCTCAAAAGATCTTTGGTGTGAGCAACATCCAAAAGATCATGGCCATGGCTGCACCTGATCAAAGACAGGCAGCTGCTGAAAGCATTCTCACAGAAGGGAATGCAAGGAAAAATGATCCTGTGCATGGTTGTCTTGGCATTATCAGAGGTCTCAATGCCCAAATTCAGGGACTTGAAACAGAACTCCATATTATGAAACAGCACCTAGAACTTTGCAAGGAGAAGGAAGAACTTGATGGGAAAAAAAACCAAGCAAAAGAAGACTTGCAGCATGATCAATCTGATGGTCTCAATTTCCCATCACCAATCGTCCCTGATCTGGTAAGACTTATGATCTTAATTTTTCTCTGCCTCCTTTTTGTTTTTGTTTTGTTTTTGTTTAACCAAAACTTCATACATATACACATAAATAACTGATATGTGAATATTTATTCTGTGTAATGCAGCCCTCTCATGTCATGGCTGAGATGAGAAAATATGAACAAGGATACAATTACTGGTCAACTTTGGAAGATGCAGAAGAGGAGGTCTTTGACATCCAGCTCATAGAACCAGTATTATTTGAATCCAAACTGAAGGGGAATGCAAGTTCTAGTGGATCAGGAAAATCCAGGTTGTGCAAAACTTTATACTTTTGTTTGATAATGTTTATTTGTTGTCTTTTTATTTATATAGAGATGGAAAGGAGAAAGAGGAAGGGGAGATAGCTAGGTGGGAGGAGAGATAACATTGTCGATAAGGAGCGCGCAATTAATGCGATAGATTTTTTAAAAATAAAAATAAATAAGAAGCGTTATTTATAATCCCCCAATGCTCCCTCCCACGCTAGCTCGGGGGCGTTAATAGGGTTATATATTACTTAATTGTCATTTGTACTCCCACTCATGACACACATGTCACGTGCAAATAGCTTCGTCTTTTAAAAGTAAAAGCTTAAAAGGAATTTTGGAATCCATTTTTGTCATTTCATAATGTGCTCCTTCGTAAATCACATTTATTATAATATAATTGATTCTCACAATAATTGCAGAATATTGATAATCTTTCTCTAATAAAAGTGATTAATGTTTTGCGTCATTTGTAATAAGTTGTAGTGCTGCTGCCTCCAAGGCCCAAGAGAAGCAACCTTCAGAGAGTTTGCAAGAGAAAACTACAGAAGATGAGGCTTGACCATCCAGAACAGACATGGAAATGGTTGCACATCAAGAATGAATTTTACTTTGTGATCAAATTTAGTTAATTGAGTTGAAAGATCATTAGACTTTATGTAAACCTGTTTTCTGCGTATCGTCAGACTGTAGTTGCGTTTTGAGATTATCAGCTTTTTCAGTACTTCGTTTTTGCTTCCAGTTCCTCCAACAGCAGAAATCAAAGACAAGAGGAGCAATGGATGCATCTAGTGTTTTTGAATATACTTGCAATAGCTCAAGCTGGTATTGATGTCTTTGACTACTCCTAAATTATTCTTTCATGGTTTACTAATTTGCATGTAGTATCTTAAGAGAAGGAAGATAAATTTGTACAGGAAAACAGAAGCATAAACACTTCAATCAGCAGAAAAGCAGCCAATCTTGTTTAAAATGACGAATGCGGAGCTGTTGTGGCGCTGTTACGTCTTTAGCAACGGTCGAAACCGCCGCTAAGCGTTGAAAATAAGATCGATTAAAATATTCTATTTAAAGGGTATCGCCGAACGGCTATACTGTTATATTCGGTTTTCCCTTTTTTTTAAAAAGTCGTATAGCCGATCGGCTATACTAGTATTTCTCCAAATTTTTTAAAAAATTGTCTAGCCGAACGGCTTTACTCAGCTACTTTTTTAAAAAATAGTATAGCCATACGGCGATACTCGGCTTTTTTTTAAGTAGTCTAGCCGATCGGCTATACCCGGTTTATAATTGTTTTCAAAAAAATAGTATCGCCGCCCGGCTATACTCGATTTTGAATTTATAAAAAGAAATAGTATAGCCGCCCGGCTAGACCCGGTTTTTTTAAAAAAAAATGGTATAGCCGAGGCCATGCTCGGTTTTTTAATTTTTTTAAAAAACAAATAGTATAGCCGCTCGGCGATACCCTGTTTTTAAATTTATCAAAAAGAAATAGTATAACGTGCGGCTATACCCGGTGTTTTAATTTTTTTTAAAATGAAATTGTATAGCCGAACGGCTATACCCGGTTTTTTTTTTTGGCCGCCCGGCTTTACGCTTTTTAAAATTTTTTAAAAGGAATAATATAGCCGATCGGCTATACCCAGATTTTCCCCTTTTTTTGTCAACGAGGCTACACTCGGTTTTTTCCTAATTTATCGAAAACAAATAGGATAGCCGCCCGGCTATACTCGTTTTTTTCCCTAATTTTTTTTAAAGGAATAATCTAGCCGCGTGACTATACCCAGATTTTTCCAATTTTTTTGTAAAAGAAATAGTATAGCTGCGTGGCCATACTATTTATTGAAAAATCACAATCTTGCATTTTTCTTCCAACAAGTAAGAAATAATCTTAGCCTCTCAAATTGTTTCATAGTTCGTAAAATACGGAATGAAAAAATACAAATAAAACATGTACGTGTTTTATTCAACAAAATTTTGGCAAATTTGGTCCATCACGTAAACTTAAAAGTTGCTAAAATATCGTAATAACAAGACAAAAGATTTAATCAAGGGAACGGTAAATCTGGAAGAAAACCAAGAATAAAGCAATTGATGAAATGATAGAAGAAAATTGGTGCATTCTTTAATCAACTGATCAGCATTTAACTAAAGAAAATAAAACTTGCTTATTACAATGCCTACAGTTATGCTCTAAACTATCGTACATCACTTCAATTTGTGCTCCATTGTTGCTCACGTTAGCTACAATCTTGCTTAGGAATTATTGGGATTTCCATAGATGGCAGAAGGGTCTCCTTATAAATTGTGGCTGTAGCTTCCACTTCCACCACCAACAGACTTGGAGAATCAAAGAGAGTTCAAGAAAAAAAACACAGAAAGTGAGGAGAAATGGATGCTAGTGTGTTGAGGGCTGTGGTTTTGATGAGCATGCTTGTGCTTTCAATAGCCCAAGCTGATATTAATCCTTCCTATACCAATGCGGGTCCAAATGACAATCCTCTTGGTCAAGTTGATGATGTATATCCTCGCTCTAATACAAATCAAGTGGTTCCAAATGGCCATATTATTTCTTGTGGTTTAAAATGTGCGACAAAGTGCCTGATGAATCCAATATGCCTTGGCATGTGCATGATCAGATGCAAACATAGGCCTTCGGATGTTGTGGATAAGTGTACACATAATTGTGCCAACTCCTTTGCCACCACAAGCACTTCCAGTTCTGGTAATACGCATATTACCATATGGGATTATTGATCTTACATTCCTCTATTTAATTACTCTTTCTCTATAACTTTATCATGTTTGTTTGGAATTATATTTTAATTATTGATATTCTTTTAATTTTTGTTTTATTTGCTTGATTGTAGATAAGCGCTATGTGGAAGGTTTCGTGGATTCATGCTATGAGAGTTGCTCCAAGAATAACCAGATAAATTAATTGATCGGCTATTGTTCCCTAATTCAACGCAGATGTCTTGTTGCAGAAAATAAATGACGAGTTATGTCTTTCATATATAAACTTTTTATTAAAAATAAGAATAAGATTTACGAAATTACTACTTATATTGCTTTATGGGTTCACGATGCCGTACGTGTAGTTTCTTCTTTTATTTCTCTTTTCATTCATTCTAGCCATACGCCCAAGAAGCTCAAGCTTGAGCATCTTCAAACCATACCCGTACGTTATCAATCAACTAAAGATCTGGACAAACGACATCTATTCTATAATATAATCAATTTAATTAGCATCGTTTGCTGTCATCCCCCATTGAGTTATACATTACTAGAAACCCTAAAAAAAACCAAACACAAGGAACTCAAAATATTGTTGCCATTATCAAATCAATGATATTATTTAGACCACATTGTTGATCACATCTATTAGAGAGGTTAGCTCCGCCATTATTTGTGGGACTCACCTGTATTAGAGAGATGCTCAACAATGCGGTCTAAATAGCAACACCAACACCCTTATCAAATAGTATATCGTTGGAACATGACGATCATATAAAAATATTAAAAAGGTGTGTAGACAAACTTGGGGATGAACGCATAAAAGAATTTGGATATCGGTTTTTGTGGATTGAATTTTCTCCAAGTAAGGACTGGAAAACAAAGAAACTAACAATTTGAAATTTTCTATATTACGCTGAGTTAAACTACAGAATCGAGTAGCTGGACTTGTTGTTTTTAAAGAGGCATGACAAAATGTTAGATTGTAATGTTCATATAGAATTAATGAAACTTAGCTTTTATTTAAAAAGAAAAAGAAAGAACAAGATTTATACATATATACATATATTGGAAAAGTTGTGAATCTATGATGTTATTTTTACATATATGTTTTGCTTGTTCAGAAAAATAACTACAAGGGAGGGGTGTCTCACACACACACAAATAAAAATGCCGTAGGGGCAAAATAAAAGCATAGCAAACCAACTTAAGTGGGCACATAATTGTGCCAACAAAAAGATTTAATCAAATGGACTTGATGCAAATGATCTTCAAAGAAAAAGGCTCCATTACAGTCAAGATCAACTAAATCAATTAGTCACGGCAGTGGACTCGCTACTTTTCAACAAAGTTTAAATTCCCTCTCCGTAAATCAGATTAATTTAAAGTAATTTAAACTATCTCTAGTATGATATATTTCAAAAAAAATGATAATCCGTTCCGTTCTGTTTTTTATTTGTCATGACGAAGTTCAAAGTCACAACAAATTAGTGACCAACCTAATGTTGCCCTAAATCTCTAGAAATACAAAAAGAAAATCATAGTTATATATGATTTTACCTGGAACGAGGGTCCAAGTGGTGCAACAGTCAAACCCTGGAGCCTTAAAAAAACAGTTAGGATCCGAAACCTCTCCACCGTTTTACACTCTCCTCTGACAGGAGTGGGTGAGCTCAAATCAAGGTGGACCCACACAGTTAAACTCCCAGCAGACACATCAACAGGTACAGTGACATAGATACACCCAAAGATCTAAAATTGGTCATCCACAATTTTGTTGAACAGTTATATTTTGGCCTTTGAATTTGAAGTCTGTAAACTGCAGGTGCCAGCTTTCAAATCTGAAGCAATTGAGAGCAGATATCAAATTATGGGGAGGATGGAGTATTTGGCTCTGAAGAGTAGTGATCCAGACACCAATGAGTTGATAAATTCAGACATCAATGATCTCAAGATTGCAGCCAAGAAACTCATCAAAGATGCCACTAAGCTTGGTGGGTTGGGTTTTGGGACTTCTTTTCTCAAATGGGTTGCCTCCTTTGCTGCCATGTGAGTCATCTTATTTGTTTCCTTGAGGACCAAGTTGCTTTAAGCTTTGTTTTATTGGCTGGAATTGGGTTGCCTCCTTCTTGATTTTCTAATTGTTAAAAAGGGAAAAGTCAAAAAAGTGATTTTTTCTCCCTCTCTTGAATATAATATTTCATTCCCTTAGTCTGGGAAAAAGGAAGACAATGTATCACAGTTTCCTGCATATGTTTATTTTAGTTATTGTTTTCTTTAAGATTTTGGCCTTCCTATTTATTGAAACATCCATTGTTAGTCTGTAAACTTCTTGTTTTTGGTCCACCAATATGTCAGAACTTGACCTGTTATGTTTCACACCTAAATTTTTCCTCCCCTCTGAGAAACACTTGTGTGAAAAGGGATAACACTATTTTGTTATCTCCAGTGACATGCCAAGCATGATAACTTTTCCACGTGGCAATATGTTTCATACAAGTTTTTCTGCTTCCAGAGGCCCATTTCATCCTGTCTTTAGCTGTGACCTAAGTCCCATATAATCTAAAGTTTTTATATGGTCAATAGTCTAGAAAGCCATTGATTGACATGAACAAGTAAGCCATGAATTGATTTACTTTTTGTTTTTGGGTATGAAATAAGTTCAAACAGATTAGCTTGTGGCCAAGTAGGGCTCAACAGATCAAAAATATGTGCCCCAAACCCTACTGTTTTACTTGGATGCACCAACACATAATTTTGTCCATTCTGATGTCTATTTCCATTGATGTAAGCCTATAACTCAGACTTCTGCTTGGATATCCATTC